AGGGCCCGAAAATATTTGCTAGTAGATTTGGATTGTTCTTCAGTGGCGGAGAATGTACTCCAACCTTTAAAAATTGAATAATGAAAAGTAGAAATATACGTAATTGATGAGATCGACTGTTCAATAATAGAAATTCGTGTACTAGATGATATCGACTGTTAACAAATTGATCGTACGAGTTCAAATCATGCTTAAGAAGATTTACTCCATTATTAATTGAAAAAACTCTTTGTTTTTTTCCTATTCGAAGGTTATAGAATGACTTATAAAAGTATAAACAAGTAGATTTTCAACCCATTGAATATTTGAAGTTTCACTGGTGTGCTTTATGTATTGTATGACGCATTCAAAATCACACAATCGCAAAAGCAAATAATTCGGGGCTCTATATATATATATATATTTATTTATTTATTATTATTATTTTTTTAAATTTATTTACTTATTTATTTATTTATTTTTTTCATTGACAATAATCCCCGTATAGGTTAACAAATTGACAATGTATAGGTTGTTGATCATACGTATCTTGAATTGAGGTTACAGTTTTAATGCTCAGCCAAATTTATTATTATTATTATTTTTTTTTTTGGCAATTTCTCATGGATAGAATAGTAGTTTAAACTTCATGGCATATTTTATACGGGGTATGGAATATAATCAACAAAGAAAAGAATTCAAAATATTTGTTGATTGTCATATTTATTTTTTTATTTAATTTAGTACTTGTTTGAATTTCATTAAAAGTTGTTGAAATTATATAATGTGATCGAAATGAATAATGGATTAGTAGGTAATAATTGTGAATATTATGAAATACGTTGTTAAAACTAAAATTGACGTAGACTTTTAAATTATAAGGACTGAGCTACTCAAAGGCGTAAAGGTTGATTGTGCTAATTTAGTCCAGACTTTTCCTATTTTAGCTTTGTAAAATGGAGTGCCGTGAAAGGACCTTAATTTATGAAATTTTGTCGAAACGTTATTGAAAAGATAAAAAAAAAACTCGTGTTGTATCTTGTGGTCCACCCAACTTGATAAGGGCCATGGTGGACTTTTGTTTACGAAATTATATCGAAACTCTAGAAGAAATATATTCTACGTGTTTGAAACATACTATAATTCTAGCGTATCATAAAACACCCTTCAGAATATGTAACGATTTCAAATTTCAAAGAAGAATGAAGGTGTCCCACCACAATATAAATCTTGCAACACCCACTTCTACAATGAACAAAAAATGGAATAGGGGCTCCCGGGACACAGCTCAACTGGTGGATCAATCAACATTGTCTTGCTTTCAGCGGCAGGATAGGGAGTTCGATTCCTAGTGGGAACTTGCGGCCAAAAATTTGGTATGGAACAATCACTGTGGAGGAGGGTCCTTGTGCGCAGAAGTGTACAGGCAATGGGGAGAACTTGTGATCCAGTTGAGGCAATCACTGTGGAGGAGGGTCTTGAGGCGGAGGTGGAATTTGTGGATGACAGCTTGTAAGCGATCAAGTGGCAATGGTTGAGGAGATTCGACTTTGACTGGTCTGCGAAATCCATATTTAGCCTCCGTTTAGCTCCCGTTAAAATTCTTCAATTTAATTTAAATTCCTCTTTCTCCTATTTTTAACCACACAATCTTTAATAAAATAATATTACATACAAATCGAAGATTTTTCATTCTTTCATAATCATCCATTTAAAAAAAAAAAATACTATTTCCCTCATTATAAATCCAAATAATGGGGGCCAAATGGGAGCTCAATTAGTTAGCCAAGAAAAATTTCAACGGGTGAAATGTCTGAAATGAAACATGTCTTGCTCTGAAAATTAAGTTGGTGGTCATGATGTCCCGAGTAGGTATATCCGTTTTCAGTTATTGGACGAGGTTTAATATTATCTTGAATAAAATTTTAACTTACTTTTATTCTTTATTGCTCTCAATACTGAATAATTTATCATGTTGTACAAATGATGAGTGAAATTGATTAATTTATAGTGTCGAGGGTATTAAAAATTTAACTGCAAACGTCTGAAACTGGATATAAATCTATCTAAATTGGAATATTAATTCTTGTTGGGTTTGAAAAATTGTCGCATTTTCGCTAGTCTGCCACAAGCTGCCTGCTTGAGCAGTACGTGAACTTTTCGAGTAAAGAGCTGTCATCGGGCTATCGCTGAGCTCTCGCTCTTGCAGCAGGGTGGTCGCTCTCCTGGCATTAGACAGCGCTTGAGCGACGACGCCGCACGAGTTCGTCTCTTGTTGTCGATTTCATGCATATTTTGACTTAGTTTTTAGTTTTTAGGTTACTACTAGGATTTTTACATGATTCCTATAAATAGTAGACTTCATTCAATTTAAAAATTACCGAGATTACTGTAACAATATTATTTTTCTCCATTGCTTGTTGAATAAAATACTTGATTTCTCTGTCAATCTATTTCTTGCCTTTAGTCTTATTTTTCATGTGCGATTATATACTTCATATTGTGTCATACTTGCCTCCCCGTTTCATAACAATTCTAATAATAGATTGTAGAATTGTTAACTAGTCTTCTTCTTTCAATTTTATCTATATATGTCACAAATATTGTAACCTACAATATTTATTATCGACACAGTGTTCAACTAAGAAATGCTCATTTAAATTAAAAAAAAAATGTCATTTATGTAATTGAAAGTTTTTAAACTCAGAGTTTGTAGATATTCATGACCTCAGGACATGTTGCTTATAAAAGTGAGCATGAGTATTTATCTACCCTCCAAGTAGCAGGAAAAAAGAAAAGAAAAGAAAACCTAAACTTTGACATTGTTCGTACATTTTTTTGCATGCTTTCAATAATAATGAGACATACTCGAGTGTAATTATGTTCTCACTTTTGCGCGTCACTTTTGCTAGTAAGAACCAAAATTTCTAACAAAAATAATCCATGGGTTCAAGATAATGATAAATCAAGTTGAGTCAAATAAATTCACAAAATTTCTTGAACCAGAGTCATTGGAAGCAATTGTTTTTTAAATCAACAATACGATGTATATGAAGTTTACGTATGCAACAGATTTGAGGATGGATTGTGCTTAAAAAAAATGAGGGTAGATTTGCTACACTTCGTAAAGGCTGAGAGTAAAAAACACAATTTCTTCTTAAAATAATTTATGCAAGTCGATGTTAATCGACTTTTTATGGTCTAAGTCGAAGAATATTTTGTGACAGTAAATGGAAACAAATTTCATCCCCAATATCAGTAAAATCTACCACTTAATTGACAATTTTTTATGTAAAACAAGCCAAACGAACACCAAAAAATACTTTTATTTCAACATTTTCCACGTGAAAAATTATACCAATCAAATACAATAATTTATAATTCTC